ATTTTCATCTAGTGGATCAAAGTCGATTTCAACGAAGAATATTTCTCCTACCAAGTTCTCTTCTTCGGCGCTTTTAGTACAGTTATATCTTTTTAGTAGACGTAGGACGATACGTGTACATCAATTATGGTCTTTAGAGTGGTGATGTACCACATTCTTTATAGACTTTTGCGTCGTTCTCACACAGCTGAAGCTATATGGTGAAGCGAACAACCATTTGAGCAATCGTTATTGAAAAAGAGCACACTGACGCGTTATTTCACCTTCTTGGCCACCCATAGACTGAGGAGTCTCCTCTTATTCGTAGAATTTTTGTCCTCCCTTTCTCTCTTTGTCCCTAAACAGTTTTAGTCCTCAATGTTCTGTAGAATCTTTTACTCGTCAATATTCCTCAGGAATTTAATTCAGTCAGCAAAGACCACTGAAAACCGCTAGCAGAGAGTATTGGACAGCTGTTTTTCCCTCCCAAGTTTAAATGCCTTTTATTCTGCATTTAGGCCATCTACAATTTTACCAAGTAAGAAGGGATTATCTGAGACCCCACACAGAGTTCTTAATAAAGCGGGAGCTAGGGCGGCATTAAAACCCAGCTTCCGGCCAATGTCACAGGCTGGCAATTCTCCTTTTACCTAACCTGCTGTCTCTCGTTCTCTCTCTCTCTCTCTATATATATATATATGTATCACGAACTGGTAGAAGTTGGAATTCATGTACCACTGGTGTGGGGCCCAGTGGTTGAATGCTACACGAGCTCGCCTCGCAACCAGAAGGTCTAGGGTTCAAACCCACATGGTGGGCTCGTATCGACAAATAGTCCCAGACCAGAAAGGAACTTCTGCACAGTATCCCCCAGGGTTCCCAACCGTCCTCTAAATGATGTCAATTTGTAATCAAGCCTGAAACATTTTTCTGTACGCAGAGATCTGGCCAAAGATCTTTAGCAATAAATAAGATAGGTAGGATACCTAATGATTTTCCTCCTCGTAGACAAATGTAAAGGAAGAGGCTGTAGAGATATGGTGATCAGTATTTTGACCAGATGTTCAGTGATTGCCCTTCTTATAGCCCCACATCATCCACCACTTCTTATCCACGAAGGGTAGTGTTCTTGCACCCCTTTGGAAAAAAACCTGAGTCGAACGACTGATATATACGTAGTTCCACGGGAGCAGGTGAATTCATAAGATCACAGAGTAATTTAGCTGTAGGATCTTGTTCTTCAGTATAATAAACACTAATGTCTCACTAGAAAACGCTGTTGTCTCAACGAGACTGTAGCATCGAATTTCCTTCTCAGTATGGTTTTTGAGATCCTTTTTCTTTTAGGGATTTTGTCATCTCCAGTCTTCTTATCGGTCCAACTTTTTGCATCTTCCCGCTTCCCACTCACAGTCATCCACGAATTCCAGTTCAATACAGTTAGGAGTTTCATCTTTGATAGTAGGAGTTCTTGCCTTCCCACAACTTTCTTCACTTCAAATTCACGGTTTCGCTGAGTTTCCCATTATGTTTCACCTGACATGTGGCATTGTCGTATAGCTTTTGATTGAGAAACAACCAAAGATGACTGCAGAGAACAGGATGAAATGGTGGTACGCTGAAACTGTAGCCCTTTGTTCCACTGAAAACCTAAAGGGATGTCAAGAATATTAATATTTTGTTACCCTCCCGTATATATATATATATATGTTACTTTTCCTCCCTTTCAGGTATCGGTTTCGCATGTACCATGATCAATTTCTACCTAAATTGCTATTACACCGTGATATTATCCTGGGCATTTCATTTCATATTCTCCTCATTTACAACTGAACTCCCATGGACTAAATGTGGCCAGCCATGGAATACCCCAGCCTGTACTGTATTTACAAATCAACCGAAAAATGAGACGATTTTACAATATACTAATATTACTCATAATGTTGCGACTATACAGGGGATTAATCAAAGCGTGTTGGCAGTCGATGCCACTACGGAATATTGGGAGTAAGTATGTACAAAAATAACTGGTAGTTGGATAATTTTTTTTCAACAAACTATTTTTCTTTATTTATAGACATGTATTACTTAAATAAATTAATCAGTAGTTATTTTCAAGTATTGGTTTTGTATGGATTTTTTTGACTGGATGGGGGATTTCATCATGAGCTGACATCAGTTAGAGAACCACTGGAAAACCTGGGAGTACTGGACAGCTGTTTAGGACTCTTCATCAGTACGCACCCACCGGGATTCGAACCCAGGACCTTCTGGTTACAAGGCGAGCTCGTAGACCTAGGACGAAACAGCTGTCCAGTACTCCCAGGTTTTCCAATGGTTCTCTAACTGATGTGAGCTCATGATGAAATCCTCCATCTAATCAATAGTAAGGCAAGGACTAACGAGGGTAACTGCTAATGACTATTGGCTGGCTAGTTATTAACATAGACGAAGGTGTTCAGTGGAGACAGTCAGTCCTCTTTTCCCTCTCTACCTTACACTCTCAACCTGATCTCATTACCACTGTCTATATAATACGCAACCTTATACAGGAGATAAAATGCCGACATCTTCCATGTCCATGAGCAGTAGAGAAGGACGGAAGGAATCGAGGGGCAGTAATCGCACTTTGCCTTTTCACGATAGGTATTTGTAAAATATTCAGGTGATGTGAGCTAGTGTTTCAGCGGTAGAATGCATGTCAAACAATTGCGGAAGGTTTTACTCATGGGACAAGGCTACCTACTGAATATATCATTTTAGGAATTCAGTGATGCTTCATGTCTACTACCTTTAAATTACAGGGCAAAATATATGGAAAAACAGAAGGTGTAGCAAAGCGATGGATCACCAATATTCACCGCAATCGTAGCAGTTATCTTCACGGATGATAGCTGGGAAAATCTGATTCTTTATGCAATTATTCCACTCCAAAAATAGCGTGGAGATTTGCGGATATAACACTTTCATTGTGTTAAAAACAGATCATATCTCTAGTTTCTTTAAACACATAAGATAAACTCTATGGTAAAGGGAATAACATTCACATCTGAATAGGAAAATTAACAAGAAGAATTGACTACCATGTTAGATTCTGAAATAAAACGAGCACAAAGAAAAGATAAACTTCATACTAGTGTTCATGAAAAGTCAATGCATTCTAATAAATATTTAGATACTTAATTCATCTCATCCGTTGTGTGTGAAGACAACCTTGGTTCAGTGTCTAACGAACCAAGCAGCATCACTAAGTGCTACAAAAAAAGACTTAAATTATGAAATAAAAGAGGCGTTGGTGTCAAATAACTATCCTATAGAATTCATTAGGCAGATCAGAAAAGGTCAGAATAAAAATAATGGGGAAACTAATAATGATAACATAAATAAGAGAGAATATAAGTCATCTACAGTTATACCATATAAGGAGGGGATATCTGAAACCCTTCCTGCAGGATTCTTAACAAAGCAGTAAGTAGGGTGGCATTTTAACCTGTAAACTCACTCAGGTAGGACAATCTCTGTAGGCCAAAGGACCCTGTTGACCCGATTAGAGAAAATAATATAATTCACAACATACCTTGCAATGAATGACTCATAGTTAAGTCAACTACTTAGAGGAAACCAGTAGGTCTGGGTGTTTCGATTATCAGAACGTATAAATTTAGCTATATGTCGAATAGTTGTCCCCGCGATTACACTGCATGCATTAGCACACAACCAACCACACAGTGGAGTGAGACAGAGTTACTATTCTAAAATGTAATGTGGGTAGATGGAGACAGACAGTTTGATTACTGAATCTTTGTTCATTGAATATACTACAACCAACACATGCCGAAAGGAATGACTCATCACCATTACTAGAGATATAGGAAAAAATATTACTACCAATTAAATCAAGAGGGGGAAAATAGCGGAATTATATGTAGACGAAGTAGGAAATTTTTGTGAGTAGTGCCTTGATATGATTCTGAGGAGCAATAAATTGTGGTCGAAACGCTGTGACCAGTAAATAATGCTGTATAACAAAACTTTGAAATTTTATCAAAATAAATTTTTGCCATGAGGGAAAGAACGCAAAGCTTGATATGAGGCTAGTAACCTCACCATTACTAATGGAATTTCCAAGCTCAAGCTAAAAGTTGTATGTTCTACTCCAAAGGAAAATGAGGTGAAAAAAATTTGGAAGAACCGCTGAGCTGTACTTTCAATGTACAGTTCACACACACCATCTGCGAACAAAAGGATGGTATATTGCAGTTTGTATCCCCTGTGTGTTCATTACTAGCAGGTTAGTCTTGAGAACAGTCCATTAAAGTGGACTACTGACAGTTTACAGCTGTATACAAGGTACCTAGATGACATCTTCATTATTTGCGACAATAGTTATAACCCCAATCATCAACTGTTACAAGTATTTAACAACTGTCACCTAGCATCAAAATTCACTCTGGAAATGGAAAACGAATGAGAAATATCCTTTCTTTTCATGCGGATCTAACAAGATGACCGGACGGAAATTTAAGAATAGCGGTTCATACAAATCAAAATTAGAACAATGGTGAACTAACAAGTTTCTACAGTTAGGTGCTCGTTGAACCAAAGAGAAATCTAATTAAATCCCTTACCAGTCGGATCTGAAGTGACGTCTGCAGTCCTGACTCCCTGGAAGGAGAAGTGAATCTTTTGATAATGGGTACACATAAATATTCACTAACAAGAATGTCAAAGCAACTGAAGGTCCAGAGGAACGAACCATTACATTTCCCAGAAGAAAAACTTTAAATGGAACCGGATTTCCAAAGGAGACTTAGCCTGCGATATCCTCAAAGAAGAATTTCAACATCACTGAGAGGAACATTCGTCACAGAAACACTGGCAGCAACGCGTTCTCCATTCGTTCATCGGTCCACAGAAGCCATAAAGACAAGACCGTATATCTCACCACTTCTGCCTGCACAAGTATATTAGTTCGCCTGTTGCTGTGGAGCCAGGTTTATTGATCACTGGACACGTATTCTGCACTGTTGCAGAAAGGTAGTAATTTCCGTGCAATAATCGAACACTTCGTCAACATCACCCCAAAAAAGCCTTCTTCTAAATAATCTACAAAGTGAAGAACAGTAACCAGCCGGAGACAATTTGCTTACGTCTCCTTTGTGCACTGCCGGAGCTTAAGCCATGCATACAGAAAAACAGGAGTTATGCATATAAAGGAAAATAATTCAACCACTTCTACTTCAACAGAAACCGTGTTGATTTCCAGTGACTTAATTTCCATTTACCTGATTATTTTTCTAACTCCTTATGACTCTTGTAATTCTTCATAACTCTTCCATATGTCCATATTTTCTCTCGTTTCTATGTACATCCTACTCGCAACTCATTCACTAAACCATCCATCTTATTAGCTAACTGTAATACACTTATTCAACGTTTTTTCATTCATTTACTATTGTGATTATGATAAACGTTTATCAGTTTTGTTACTGCCGTTTTCTACGTGAAAGAGATCGCATTTAAATTCAGTTGTACAGCTTTAAAGAGGAGAGAAAGAATTAGCCTATGGGAGGGCTTTTTCTCTGAACCACGTGTTTTGTTAATGCCTTCTGTATTTCGTAATTGTTGTCTAAAAAAATTTACAGTTTTGGTGGTGCGCTATGACAATGCATTATGTAAATGTATATGTTTCTGTGAATTGAGAATGATATCTCTGGGAATCAGAGATACTCTTCGCTGAACGTCTGTTCATTTATAAGGACACTTAAGGCGGATTTGGCGATACATTCACAGTAAAACATAAGGTTTCTGTTGGGGGAACATCTCCATTCCACTCCCAATCTCCATAATCACTTTCAAATAATACCACGACTGTCCACATGCCCTCTTTTTCTCCTCATAACACGATCTCCTCTATGTCACCATCGTTTGACTTACATACAAGTAGTTTTTCACTTCACATTTGGGTTCACTTCAATAGTTTACCAAGCATCTGATGTCATCTGTTAGTTTTCTAAATGTATGTGTCTAATCTACTTCCATCCTCTTCACCAAATTCGCTGTCGACTGATTGACTGTCTGTTAGAGTTCCTTGTGGGGCAGCACTGAAAACGAGACTAAAAGAAGATAATGGCCAGAAAGACTGAACACCGTTATCCGTGGAAGAGATAATAAAACGGGTGGAATTCTGTCTGACAACAACATATTTTACATTTGAAGGGAAAAAAATGAAGGAGTATCTATGGGATCGTCCATCTCCCCAATAGTAGCTGACATATTCATGGATTTTTGGGAAGAGAATGCACTTAAGCCATTCAGGTCATCAATAAAATGTTGGTGGAGATATGCAGACGACACGTTAGTAATAATGAGAAGAAAGAAACGATGCTGAGAAATTCTTCTCACACATGAACAGTCATGCTGAGTGAATAAAATTCACTATGGAAATAGAGAATGAAATCGGGGAACTGCCTATGTTAGACTGCAAAATACAAAGAATAACAGATGGCAGCATAAAAACGAAGCTATATAGAAAAACTACGCGCTCTGAAAGATTCCTTGACTATCACTCAGCTCATCCACTCACGGTGAAACGAGGACTAATACAAGGTCTTGCAGATAGAATACGCAGACTTACAACAACAGCAGAGGACCAGCGTAAAGAAATAAACATCCTCTTCAAAATGTTACTCGACAACAACTACCCTAAGGAATTTATCAAAGATAATATAAAAGCGAGAAAGAAGAAGGTAAAACTGGAGAATGACAAGATGGTGGAATGCAAAAAAACAGTCACAATACCATGCAAAAATGGTACATCAGAAGCAATTCGAAGAAACCTCAAAAATATTGGGATTCGCACGACGTTCAAACCGACGAATCTAATTTTTTTAAAATAAATCAGCTGAAAGATCCCATAAAAATGATGGATAAAAACAATGTGATTTACAAAATATCTTGTGCTGAATGTCCGACTAAATATATGGGCCAAACGTCCAGATCACTGAAAATAAGAGTGAATGAACATAAACGCCTAACTAAAGGTCATCCCACAGGAACACAAGCTTACAAGAATTTAGAAAAAAAATTCATCTACAGCTGCACATGCATGGGACAAAAACCACAATATCGATTGGAACAATGTTTGTATTCTAAAAACTAATATGAACAAATGGAAAGAGAGACTTATAACAGAATCTATATTCATTAAGGTGATACCCGGGTACACGTAACAAGGGTGACTCAGTACAACTGTCAACAAAACAATTCCAACAGTGGTGTGAACACGGGCAGTAATTTTGCTGGAAATACAACCAATAACAAAACTTATCATTGTGTGTAAACTATTGAAATATAAATTATAATTTATTTAATGGATGAGTCGGTTGAGATGGTGTGTGGCAGGTGTGCTGACGAGTGCAGTACTTCTCAAATGAGCTTAGCTTCTTGTTCTTTCCTCACTAATTCACATATGTGTGTATGCATGTACACCTGCATCACTTTATCTATTTCTCTTTTTCTGATTTTCCCAAACAGAAATCGTGTTCTGCGTATATCTGACGGGATACATAATCTGGGAACAATTCAATGGGATTTAGCCTTATGCCTCTTGCTTACATGGATTGTTATATATTTATGCATTTGCAAGGGTATTAAAACATCAGCAAAGGTAAGCAGTATATTTTGAATTATCGGCTTTCGAGTGGAACAGAAGACACCAACTGGGGTACGTCTCTATCTCAACTGTCTCTCCGCTTCAGTCTCCTTCTTATTTGGCTTTTTTTGTTCCTTAACGTTCCATTGGAACATAGGGCTTCAAGTTAGAGGCTTGAAGTTTCGGTAGCACTGGTTTCTATTTTTACGGGATGAGGTTGCTAGCCTCATGCCCAACCTTATTAGTTGGCTTTACAACTTAACATAAGCTTTCTTTTTTTCCTCCTTATCCCACTCGATCACCCCTGTGTTGTTACTCTCGTACTAACACCCTCAACTTGTCATTTCCAACTCAGCTTCGAATCGAAGATCTCCTGGGAGTTCTATGTCATCCAGTGACCTCCTCAGCGTGTGTTTAATTCATCCATCTTCGTTTTCTTCGTCATATTTGTGTAGCGACAGGTTCTCGGTTGGTTCGCTCATTTCTAGAGTTCCTATTCGCCTATCCTTTCTTGGTGGCTATCTGATATTCAGTACAGAGTCAGTAAAAACAACTATTGACTGAAATGACTTTCGTGATGCGCACATCAAATCTCTGATTGGTATAGAATTACTGACTGAATTGACATTAATGTTAGAAGTTCACATCTTGCTCCTTATGACGAAAAAATAGTAGATTTCCACAATGACTGCAGAGTAATGAAGGTCTGTCTTGCTTCTCTTATCCTCACTGCTTTGATATCCCCATGCGTGTGGTTGAAACGGTGCTGCCTAGATAAGTGGAGAAAGTCACCTCTTTCAAATTTCTCCCGTTTGTGATAATTGATGCTTTTTGTTGTTAGCTGGACCATTATTTTCATCACCTCTGTCTTTCCTAATGTTCAACTGATGGGTCCACTCTTGACTGCCTGCTATTTATCTGCCAATTTGTTGTTGGTATTCGCTTGAAGATCTTTGCTTTTGTGTGACACAAATCAGCCATGTGAATTTTAGGTCTTCTAGGGTCATTTTCGTTGATTAGATTAAGCAAAAAAGATCAGACTCTCAGTAGAAAATGACGTCATTATCTTCCACTGACTCTCATCAGCTGCAGACCATCTCAAATTACAATGGTTACCGAAGAACGACGAAGAAATGTGACGGTAGAGAAAATCTTATAAAAATACAGGCATCATGTCAATTCGTCTGGATTTCAAAGCACAAAATGAAGGAGGGAAGCTAACAGTGGTTATGAAACCTTTTTCTATTTTCCTGTCTTCTTCCCCGTCTTCTTTGCTACTTTGTCATGAAGTCCCTCTCTTATTTGTGTGACGACGTAATAATAATAATTATTATTATTGTTCCCTTGGGTTCCTAGTGGAACATAGGACTTCAACTGCACGCCTCCACTTGCTTCTGTCTTCTGCTGTACTTTTCACCTGCATTCACGCCGTTCATGCGATTTATTTGATTCCTGACGGAAGTTATTCGACCTTAACCTGTGAAGAATGCTTTATTCAGTGAATGAGGGACAGGAGGTTTCTCAACATCCCTACCGATGAGTTTCCATTGGATTGCAGATTCAGGCAGAGAGACGCTTTTTAAGAGCACAAAGTGTAGGCGGTTTAAATGGTTTACGCTTAATGGATTTTGTGATGAATGAGCATTTAAGGTAGCGATTTTCATTAAAAATTCTTTTCAGAGTGTTCAGTTGCTCTTTTATAGTTTCAGGATTGCATAAACTGCGAATTCTGTGACACAATGAATGGATACGGTTTCGCTTTTTATATTATAAAAGTACTCAACTATGAAAGTTAGTGAGTTGTCCATCCCATGTTGGCTTTCTGTAGATGGACCCTTTTAGTCCTCCATCTTGTTCACGTATTGTTAGTTGAACGTCCAGAAAAGATATTTGTGAGTAGGACTCATTCTTTAATATTAACTGGATTGCAAAGAGGCAGTTATTGAGAAAACCCAGGATTTCTTCCGAAATCCCAAACTCTCCACACATAAAAAGGATGTTTACTCAGTGTCATTCAATCTACAATGGACTTGATTTGTCTTAACACTGGATATGTAAATTTCGCCATTGGTTTTTTAATTTTTTTTTTAATTTTACGGTTTTCTTCCCTCACCCCACTGTGATAAAACGTCTACGCCTTATCACCACTGTTGTCAACTTGACTCTCGTCCAAATTTACTTAAAGCCTTCTATTCAATTCCGTCAATTACATTACATAATTTGTTATGTAAAGCTTAAAGTTCTGATGACACATCTTTGGCGAAACTCCTTTTGCTGATAATAAATATTTACTGGATATATGCAGTGAGAGAATCACTGTAAACCGTAGAGATGTGTATAGGTACTTTAGCCGGTCTTGTGCTTCTTCAACAGTTCGCACACATAACCTTGGACGGGACGAACACATTATCATTCCCTTAGCTGGGATTAAATCTAATAGACCCAAGAATTCTCACTTTTGTCGATTTGCAGTATGGTGACTATAGTCTACTAACTTTGAATATCATGATAACGAATGATAAATGGTAATTACTTCAGCAAGATGCATCGTTCGAGTAGACATTTGTGTTAGGTCGACCTTGATGAGACATGTTCATGTATAAAAAATATTATGTTTGTAAGTTTTGCATCTTAGAGAAGAACAAGGGAGGTCAGTCGATATGAAACATACCAGAGAAAATGTTTCACTTTCAGAAAGGCTATAAACCTCCTTAACTTAACTGAAGAATGTTCATTGTAGGAATAAAGATGACTACAATTATCTTGATTCTACAAGTGAATAACCCCCCCCCTATATCAGAGCTTAACAAGTAATTTGTTAACCTGTTTACATTGAAAATGGAATAGAAATCGAAAACGCAAAAAAGTAGAGCACTGTGACTGGATGTAATTCCGAATCTATTTATTTATTTATTAGTTATATCATACACATAATGTAAGTGAAACGATATTTCTTATTAGTGAATGACAGCGCTATTCGCGATTAGTTTATTGTTATTTTTGAGCAGCACAGGTACAGGGAACTTGAGTCATCTGTAAGTTGCAGACGTCATCAAAATGGAGAGGAAATCTTCCAATGTAGTATAAAATAAGGGAAGGTGATATGAATTGGAAAACAATAGTGTTTGAAGAAAACCTACCAACACACTGAAACTGTCTTTTGGATTTTGATCACTTTAAGGTGGATTGGTGAGGTGTTTAAGCGACAATAGAGTAAAATAAACCAAATAGTACCAAGGAAAATCTGAAATTCGATACTTAATAATAACAGTCATTATCATATTATACCTTCAGGTCCCTAGGTGAAGATAAGACATCAACAGCATGTTTCCATTATATTCTGTTCTCTGCATTCCTCTTTAGCTGTCTGGCTCCACCCTTACATGTGATCTCCTATAAATCATTCTGTGACGCCCGGCTCACCATTTGCCATTCGAACTCCACTCGATTGACGGCTTGACTGGCACTCGATATCACACAAATGCCTCCTTAGTGTGTTTCCAATCCTTCTTCACTTTCTTCAGCATGTTTTCGAGCACAAGCAGTGACTGACCTGACATTACTGTTGAAAATCACAATTTCGATTTCTGTGCTGAGGACCAGTGCAGCAGATTTCCAAATGGATTTCAGAGTAATGAAGGTTTGCCTTGCCTCTTCAATCTTCGTGAAGACATCCTTATCCATGTCACCAACTCTGCTGAAATGATACTGCCTAGATAAATGAAGGAAGAGGACTTTTTCAAATTTCTTGCGTTGACAGAGATTGGTGCTTGTTGTTGATTGGTTGGTTATAATTCATCACCTCCGTCTTCTCTGTGGTCACTTGCACCGTCCTACCTTTGTTGCCTGCTTCTTCTGCAAACGTTTGTTGGTTTTTGCCTGCATGTCTTCGAATTTATGTGAAATACGACATAAATCAACCTCGCGAGAAATTCAGACCACATGGAGCCTTCTGTTTAACGTACACATGTTTTCTTGTGTCTTAAAGTCTGACACATAATCCAGCCCGGGAAAGTTAAACTGAACTTAGAACCAAAGTTTCACTAGAAGACAGAACATGCTAGGAGTACAAATAGACCTGACTTCTCAAATACTGTTAAATATCACAGGTAAAATACACAAACACATTTGTTCAGGGAGTTTTCATGGTAGAGTGTCAGATGGGTTTATGATACGAATACTTGGGAGTAATTAGTGACTGGAATGTTCAGTCTCAGTCATATCCCAAAGTGTAGTGGAGGTGTGTAGATGAGACGCATTCACAGTGTTAGAAAACACAAGATATCAGAAGACTTTTCAGAATACATCAATTCAAATGGTAGAGATAATTCAATTCACTTATGCAGCAGAAATTTCTCTAGAATGAGAAGCTTCTAATGTTAGATTATAGCATAATATAGAGAATGCAGATGGAAAGTTAGATACCCTAGTGAATTTGCAAAACCTGCTCACACACACAGAGTAAAAGTGATAAGTGGGTTTTAGTACATCGCATATTATATCAGTAAAAATTCTGATTGCTGAAATGTTTAAGTGACAATAGAGTAAAATGAAGTAAATTTTACCAAAAACAAAATCTAGTGAAGAGGGAAATAAGACGCATGTAAAAGAAGCTTTAAAAACTGATAATTACTTTGATAAATTACGGACGACAAGCAGAACAAACAAATATACAAGAAGGTGGTGACAGCGCATCCACAATGAAGGGGGAATTTAAGTTATCATCATCAGTAATACTTTCATGCGAACAAGGAACTTCTGAAACCAACTTTTTTAGAATTCTTAACAGTGAGCTAATGAAAGTGATTGACATTCAGTCACTCACGAGAAAGCCACTTAGAAACCAATTATCTCCAATGAATGATTGATCCTATCAAGACTATTAAAAGAAATAAATTAGTTTACTTTTCCTAATACCTTGCTGCAATGACTATGAGTGAGACCAAATACATAAGTTAAAGTACTAGTGTCAAGGGAGGAGACAAGAGACTTCGTAATGGAATTTTATGAAGGAAAAATACACCATTTTTATACATTTTCAGCCACATTTAAGGTAGGCTAGGCCAGCAGATAATAAAATGTTCTGACTGGTCGTTGATTTTGCAGAGGTCAAACCTTGAGGAATTCAGGCTAAATTAGAGAATGGATAGAGGTGATGACTTTAACCTACCCTACCGACAACAAACACCAATTAATATCCACTGTAGAAATTCGGAGAAAATCACATCACTTTACCTATATTGAAAGGCCGTATCGTTTCAACTACGTGGGATGGCACAGATGATGATATCAAAGGCAGACAGGATCACAAAGGCAAGGAGAGGCACAGCTACATCACTCTAAAATCAGTTCAGAAATCTACTGCACTGCGGTACAGCATACAGAACAAGAGTTAGAGTTTCAGCAATAATGTTCAGTCTGTCTGTTCCTCTAAATGAGTCAAAAACTTGACGCACAAGTCAAAAAACTATTTAAAACAGCCAGCCACAAACTTTCATCAAAGTCTGACTTTGATCGACACCGAAGATCAGACGGTGGGCCAGAAGGGATTAGTAACAAAGAAATTTGGCAATGAACCAGCTAAAAGCCTATTGCACAACAAATATGACGAAGAAAATACAGGTGGATCGGATACACATACTGAAGAGGTCGTTGACTGACATCGTCCATCAGACCCTCGCGTGTAATCTCAATTGGAACTGAAGAGTTGGCTGTCCAAATTCGACATGGAGGAGAGTGAGTACTGAGGAGATAAAAGCTTATTGGCTATGGTGGAGATAGCTTTATAGAACTTCAGGGAAACGGAGGAAATGAAGATGTGCCCCAACTAAAGCCCTATGTCTTCTAAGTATCTCAGTTCCCAAAGAGTCAATTTTATTGAAACCACCTGATGTCATTGGCCAACTTAGAATACCGAGAATCTAAATTCATAATTAACACGGTTTGAGGCAAAATTTCATCGCAGGTTTTCTGCACGAACGCAAGTTACCACCATAAACGATGGGCATGGAGGCAAACATAAATGTAATACCATATATATATATATATATATATATATATGCAGCGAACGAAATAGCCATCCGGCGGGTGTTTAGATTACTTTGATCTGACTGGCTAGCTAACATACACCAGTGGTTTTTGATGCAGTTCGTCGTATCCAACGACTGACATCAGTCAATTGTTAGTAAAAGACTACCATGCATTGCTGCTTGATTTGTTAAGTGCTGTTTATGGTAGCGAATGGAACACATATACGGAGATTTGAGTAGCTTTGTTTTCCAGGTGGCACCTGTAGCAAAAATCTCATCTTGAATTGTATAAATTGAGAATTCCAATCACTCCATATTTTTCAATCTTTTCCAGGTTATGTATGTCACTGCCCTGTTACCTTATGTGTTTATGATTACACTACTGATAAGAACTGCAATCTTGGAAGGTGCTACAGATGGTCTAATCCACTATCTGAAACCGGATTGGTCAAAGTTAACAGATATGACAGTAAGTTCTACTAGTCATTTTCTTTATTTCATTCTACTCTCTACACGAGGTCTTTTCAACTAGTTGAACGATTATCACTTATCACCTTTGAAGTCACATGCTCATTATTTGTCGTTTCCCATACAACCACCGTGGGATGTCAGTCAACGGTCTCCTAAGTACATGTATCTAATTCATCTCCATTCTCTCTGGCATATTCGTGGAGTAATAAGTTCTTGATGATGAGAAGACTCTAGAAGATCTGGATTTCACATGTAGATCAATTTTGTTTAATGTCACGAAAACTCGAAGATGTAGAGGTGAAAACCAAAAAACTGAGTGAAGAGGCTGTCAGCGAAGACAGCACTTTAGGTGAACAAAGAGAAGATGGAGGTGATGAAGATAACCAACCAGAAGTGACAACAACCAACACTAATCACTGTCAGTGGCTTGGAAGCATCGTTTCAACAACAGCCAGCCGAACGGATGATGATGTCAAATCCATCTAGAATTGGAAAGGCAAGATACGCCCTCATCAACCTGAAATCAGTCCGCACTCAACATAAACTGCAAGATTTAGATTTTCAACACCAATGTTCAGTCAGTCTGTTAGTTCTTCTATATGGGTGGTGAACTTGGCCAGGGCGTCACAAAAATCAATTCGAACAGGCTACTGCAGACTTTTGTCAGCAGCTGTCTTCATTGGCCAGAAAGAATTAGCAACAAAAACTATGAGAAAAAACTAATCAAGAATCTATCACTGAACGAATATGCAGGATAAAATGGAGATGGATTAGGCACATACTGAAGAGGCCATAGAGTGACATCACGTGCCAACCAGGCAATCGCTTGAGTGGAATCCGAATGGGAAAAGACAAGTGTGCTGTTTGAGGGTGGCATGCAGGAGATCATATTCGGAAGAGATGAGGGCCTATAGGCAGTCATCGGTGAATCTCACATCTTCTAGAGTCTTCTTATCGGTTCAACATATCCCTACCTACCTTCTGACTCTCCACTCATGGTGTGCCCAATTATCGAGTGCAACACATTTAGGAATAGCTTCGTAAGTGATATTAGTCAGAAGACTTGTCATCATTCTAAAGGCAGGCTTCGTTGAGCTTTCCGTTTTGGATCACGTATAGCTGTCTAGAGTAAAGCTGCTTTAATTGTGATTACCAGTGAAATGGAAGCAGTGGAGGTCAGTGGGTTCAGTTTCAGTGGTGGAAACATCATCACTTACTCAACACTGGGAACTTTGATGCATCCAACAAACTGAAGAGTTCTAAGCAGGATGAAATTCATGCATCCTGGATCCTACCCAAACTGCTGCTGCCAGTCACCTCCACGAACAGGCAAAATAACAAACAAAGACACAATAAACCTTTTTAGACATCATTCGTTGTAACAACCCAAACCGACTCACTGTGTCATCTGAACACAGGAAACTGACCTCCACGTTCTACTGTATAGCTGTCCGAAATTCCCATTGAAAACGCAAAGTCACGAAACGCTCCAAAGACATAAAAAGACAATTACCCTAAAATGAATCTATATGTGTGGTTCTATTCAGCAATGATAACACATCAAAAGCTAAAAATTATCTCAGCAGTGACATTAGGCAGTTTATATAGACAAGAGAACATTCGAAGTACAAAACAAGTATTGTAGAACAAAATTAGCTAACCAAAATTCAAGAGTTTTTGTAGTCAAGTTGAATATTCCCAGCAATATAGTGGGATCAAAGCCTTGTCTATGCATTCAGAATTACCTTTGTGGTGAAAGCTGCTGCTAGCCAAAATTGGTAGACAGCAATTTACATCAATGTTTACTTCCCAAATCTTGGCGATGAGAAAAACAAGAACAAAGACTTTGCGTCGGCGAATACGATTCGCAGATATATGTTCTGAACTTCAAAGAAACGGCCACAAAGAGAAGACAGATTAACTTCCAGTTAGAAAACGACCAATCAGAAGACGCTGTTTCTCTGCTAACAATAGCGCTAATAATAATGTACATAAAAATCTATAAATATCTGTTGATTTTCTTAATAAAAGACTTGTTTCCTGGCCCTTGTCTTCTGTCGTTGCACCTTGACTTCACTCAAACAAACTCACCACAAAGTCAACCAAAAAGAGAAACATTAAGATGAGAGATCAAACAGGGACAAAGACAAATAATATGGATCAAATGAACTTATGATATGCAAATGTCAGATGCAATCATAGGACAGTCTAGAAGAACAGTGGATGATAATTACAAAGTTAGCTGAAACATCTAAATAAGTGGAGATGTTGTAATGTGATCTTTCAGGGGGTATTTTTCAAATAATTACTCCGTCAAATTTGTTGAAGCGTCCGCCTACTGGTTGCCAGCCGACACATGCCACAAAAGAATGAGAGACACTGAGTGAGCGTTTCACTTCAACGTGATAATGTGCACGGATTTTTAAAAACTCAGAATAATTTTTTATTTATTTTTGATTTCACTCCTCTTCATTTCAAGGTATGGTCTGATGCTGGAACGCAAATCTTTTTCAGTTACAGTATCGGTTTAGGAGTGCTGACAGCTTTCGGGAGTTATAATAAATTTCATCATAATTCCTTGAGGTAAGTGAAAGCTCATCTCCGAGTTGTTAACAGTTTGATTGGATGATAGGTGATCACGTGACTGTAATATTGATTTTTTAGTTTGATATCCTTGTTCTGCCTTTCTAGACAACATCCTCAGTGTACAGCCTTTTCAAAGCGTGAACTTTTTTCAAATTCTAATTGTTAGATTTTCGTCACGAACCAATATCAGTTAGAGAGATTACTGGTGAGCTGTGATGTCCGTTATTGGGACTCCAGCAGAATACATCCATGGTCTCATTATCAGGGATTGAACAATGCAGAAGCTTCATGTTACAAGGCCAGCCTTGCTGACCATTCATTGACCGTTTGGGACAGAATGCCTTCTCTACTTTTAGATGAAGTGATATCTTCAGTGCCTGCTTCTTCCGCCAAATTCTTGGTTTTCGCCTGTAGATCTTCGAGTTTGTGTGACATTAGACATAAGCCAACCGCAAATTATAGATTTTCTAGGGACTTTTTATTCCTCATCGCTCACAGTCTTCCGCATAATACAGTACACCACAATTAGGAATATTACCATTGATGAGAGTAGGTAGCGTTGCCTTACACTCCTAACTTCACTCACTTCAAAGCCAGGCTACACGACCTGAGCTATCCGTTATGGATCACCTGATACATGTCTGTGGCTGAAAGAAGTTGATCAGTATGTTAGAAAATGCTTGTAATATAATTAATATAGTCTCTCTAATGTCCCTTTTTTCTCCGCTTATTATACTTCTAGAGATTGCACTTTATTCGCACTGGCTAACACATTTACAAGTCTCTTGTCCGGTTGTGTTATCTTCTCAACCCTTGGATATATGTCGCACATATCAAATATCCCACTGAGTTTAATCGCAGAATCTGGTCCAGGTCTGGGGTTTGTTGTTTATCCAAAAGCCATCGGGACAATGCCAGGAAGTCCATTTTGGTCAATATGTTTCTTTTCAATGATTATACTCCTTGGAATTGACAGTATGGTAAGCTAATAATCCCAGTGTCTTCATTATCATTTCAATATGTATATTTCTTGTAATAAACACCAGCATATCAATTGGAGACTGCCAAAAACCGGAAAAACAGAAAGCTGAGGCTCTAAGTCCCGTGATTTCTAACTTCTGCCTCCTGGAGATTTTAATGTGACCGGCCTTAGCCAATTTCATCCATGGCGAGTATTTGTCCTCACACCCAACCTGATAGAAAAACTGGTTTCAAAACAGGACCCTGCACAGATGCGCAGCAAATTGAGTTGCTACTCAGCCTCTATGTAGCACAGAAAGCACAAGAGAAGAGAGTTAGGAGAGATAATAAATAGAAGTGTGAGTGAGGGAAAAACAGTAGTAAGTAATATGGAAGAAGAACAGAGTTTTATTAGATTATATGGCAAATCACACAAAGGGTGGATGCATCTAAGCCATCACTGAGACGTACCACTTCCAATTTTCTTCAGCTGTCATTGGTAGTTGTCATTCTGATTATCCCAACTACCCAGCCAGGCTGTCTACACCTCCCTACATGGCTGGCTGGCTCAAACTAGCTGTTATGGATTTCATCGACTGATGAAGCCATGTTTCGATTTGACCACCAACTTCTTTCCAACCTGATCCTATGTCAGCGGCTAAAATTTCCCATCAATAAAGGCAGTGTTCTGGTGTGCATCTGTAGCACATGTCCTAACCATCTCAACCGATAACTCTGCTTCACATCCTCATCGATTGACTTTCCATCTTAACCGTGCACTCGTCGGCGCCTCACCTCAGTATTTCTCACCCTATAACACCACTTAACTAATATGGCAGATAGAACTCAGACACCTATGATGAAAAACAGCTGGCCAGGCTTTTTATGACTTCCATTTCCAATGGCCAAGCTTCACAGTCGTAATGGAGGACAGAGAAAACTGCTGCTGTACAGTATACACGTCCTTTGATTGATAGCCAGCCGTATATTAATCACATATACGTGAGAGATAGTATCAGCTAGCAAATGCCAAACGAGCCTTCTGCATCTTTTCTATGGCTTTGTCAGCGATCAGCCCTCTGGGGCCCTAGTTTGTGGCTCATCAGCAGTCGCCATCCATCACAGGGTTTCAAGCCCAGGACCATTCACTGTTCAGTCGATGAATTCTAACTCCTGCTGATTCATGATTTTAGCGCGACTGGAACCAGCAGATGTTAACGGGGGTAAGTATTTGTCCTTGCGGAGGGTGCTACTGACAAAATGTATCAGTAGTATATAAAGAGACGTTCATCGGCACAACAAGAGTATCAAATAGTGGAGAGATAGATTCAACTTCAAAGAGAGAGGAACGAAACTGTGATTATAATCACAAATATTTAAACTGCATTTCATGCTACTATTGTTGTATTTATTTCCACCTTTTCGGATATAATTTCTTAAAATCCATAAATACTATTATACAGGTTGATAATAAATACGTTGTTGAAAAGAGTCTCTTCTCTGAATTCCTCGATTTTATTTTCTATATGTTCCAATGGGAAGTTTCCACGAATTAAACAAAAACTAGCTTTCTTAACCGTCTCTACTTCTCTCTGTCTCTTTCTCTGTTTGTGTTGTTTCTAAACAGTTTGGTGGAGTAGAAGGTTTTGTGACCGCTGCGACGGATTATTTCCCCCACGCAATGGCTAAGACATGGATTCGTTGTCTATTTGTCGGTTGTGTATGCTTTGCATCCTATTTGGTTGGTTTATCTATGGTCACCAATGTAAGTTGATCTCTGATTTCATACACAGTTATTCCCATCTTTTTCTGAATTTGAATAAAGCAAGAACAGCTGCAGTGGTTTGTGCAGAATAAGACGACGTGGTACCATCAATTTTTCTTTCATCACTTCTGCATACAGCCTGGAGATATTAGTTAATTAAGTCTGTGTGTTTTCAACGACTTCATTTTTAAACTGTAATGAATGCTTAATTCAATGGTTCTGTGCTTTCCAATATCGAAGAAGAGTCGGATTCCACATTTCACTAATTAGACATGACGCTAGACAGAAGAGATGACGGCAAGTTTTAAAGATTAATTTACCGAAAGCTAAACTTTACATGGCAGTATGCTAACATCTTCAAAAGTTCAGTGCCTCTAAGCAGAAAGAGAAATCTTATCCGTCCTTTGTACTCCATAATTCAGAAACTCTGCTTTGTGAGGACACAGTTGACGTAGAACTAGAAAATCTTCCTAATACTCTCTTAAGTATTAGATATCCGTGAGGATTTGTTGATAGAAACGTCAAGAAAGGAATTGTCCTCAGCCAGAAATCACAGTGGCAGAAAAAACAGTGTTTACGAGTTTGTCGTTCTGAAGTAACACTATTGCCAAACTAACTAAAAGTAGTTTATCTAAATGTATTAAACGCTGTTTTTATGCAGATGACTTACATTTGGTATTTACCAGCCGAAATATGATTCCACAACGCGTCAAGGATAAACTACCGCTTATATCCACCTTTGTATGTATATACTCCTTCACAAATTCGTGGAAGGGCTGATTACATTGGACGGTGTAAGTGTGTTCTCCGTAAACGCGTAGCTGTACAATACACGGGTTGGTTGATGAGAGGTAAGCATATAGGATGGCGAAATCTTCAGTTTGCGAACACCTTCTGGAGTCATATCATTCAACCCCATCCACCCCCACGTGATTTGCTTTTCAAAGTTTTCTAAGGGACTATGTCCAACCAACCACTAGAAAAGCTTACGTTTTTTCCGCCTAGCTATACGTGAACAAAAACCTAAATTATGTGTTCAAATGAGCTTTGTTAAACCCCTTTATGTACCTTATTCTATTTTACCACTCGGATTCCTGCCACAGTTCACTTTACCTCCGTTGTCATTGTCGCTATCATCATCGTAATCTTAATTTTTCAGACAACACTTGACCTGCTAATTCTTAAAATCTTGTTACTAGTTCACTCATTTAAGAATCTTTAAAAGTTTTGTAATTCATCCACTTCAACTGTACCCCCTTATTACATCATTTTAATGATCATTATTCTTATCATATGTGCGATATTGACTGAGAAATTTCCAGTGCCACTTAATGCCTTCTCTTTCCGTAACATAAATACGACCGTACAGCTAGCTGAAAGAGAAGTCGTTGAAAAGAAATATTTCTTCACGCTGAACGAAAGTTGTGTTTTTCGTAATGAATTTTTCGATATACTTTTCAGCTTTTGTGAAGAAGAATCTTAACATTCTTGCAAATGTAGTGACATGATGCCGGTTAATGATAGGAAGGACTGCAAAATTAATAAGTGGTGCTCAGAAAATCAAACGTGATTTATACTCATACACAGGAAGTTAAAGTCTAAACAAAAAAGACAAATGTTTGAATACAACCTGGAAAGTGACTTCAGTAATTAAGACATTAGGTAAATAAGATGATGAGTAACTAACAAATTGAGTAATAGTGTAGTGAATTCAACTCAACTCAAATCATAGAAACAAAAGGCATATGAAACTACATTAAACTGAATGGGAACATGTGGTTAATTTCGTGATGCCCACCTTATGACCCATATTGATGGAGTGCCTGGCGATGGCACTATTGTAAGCATTTGTTCCCTTGAAACGTAGGCTTTTTGTGGTAAATGTTCAGAAAATCGAAGGTGCGTCATTCGTTTTGTTCTCGCAATGTAACTGCTACCGCCGATACCTGTGAATTTGCACATACTGTTAATGTTAACATGAAAAGAGAACTTGTCGACTTTTGATTGCACCAAGATGAGGCATCTTGTCTCCTAAATGGGGACTACCATAGCTAGCTGCAGGATAGATTCATTGGCTAGTGACGTATTCAATCTTCTGATGACTATTTTTGCAATATTATCACCTTTCAAAACGAGCGGAATGAAGATAGGCTTCTGTCTCACAGTGATTTTTGGGCATTTGAGCCTTCATATCTTCCGTACTTGTTAGTAAATTTCTGAGAGTAACCCTTGTTTTTTCAACATTTTTTTCGAGAATCAGAAATTCTTTCTCTAATTCCTCTGCCTAAAGCATATTCTCTTGACTCCGTAGAACAGAGTTTTGACTAGTGCTCACCTCTAAAGCTATATGGACAAAAACTATTAAAATGTAGGTATTGTCCATTCCATGTCGGTTTTCGGTAAGTTGATCTCTGGAGACTACCATCTTCTTGGAGCTGAATGACGATGTCAAGTAAATGAAATTTCCCATCGCTTTCATGTGAATTCAGTGTTTGTATTCTGCGTTGTTGAGTAATCTGAGGAGGTAGGAAGCATGACTTTTATTGTTGCATACTACACATGTGTCATTGATACATCGAACATAAGAAATAAAATAAAATAAAATATATTCTTGGACATAATGACAAAGAAGTTGAGTAGGATGATGAATAACTAATAAACTAAGCAGGTGATGTGGTGAGGTCAGCCCAACTCAAATCATAGAAGTAAGAACACGAATAGGCACCCAAAAGCCTACATTTCTCGAATGGAATAAACGCTTTCACACCGTAGTACCGCATAAGGTGTACACCTTGAAATCCTTCACATTTACCAATAGACAATATATATGTGTAGTTCAATTCTCCTTAATTTTTCCGAAGCAATTTTGCTATCGAAAACTCCTGAAATGCCATTTATGCATGTGTTCAGAAGGAAGCACTTATCAGTTTTCCTTCGGCCCCCACTTGATAAGTGAATGTCTTTCCGGTCTCTCTCACACACACATTTGATTGTGCTGTCTTTGGCCTTAGCCTATCCCTCTGTCTAATATACTGTAACTCTGCTTGTTTCCTGTTTCTATGGTTTGAGTTCAACTCACTACATCGGTAATCATTCTGTTTGTCACTCATCATCTTATTCATCTATTTTACTTTTGTATCAAGCCTTCAACTTGAAACTTGAACTTTCAATGTACAAATTGTGTTATTTTATGAGCAGTGTTAATTTAAGTTTGAAGTCCATCCTATCATTAACACCGATATCGTGTCACCACATTTGCAAGTATTTTAAAATTGCTTTGTAGATAAAATTAATTAATTCCTTTAGGTTTTACGCAGAGGTGATTAGAAGCCGACGAAATAAACAATTATAAAGTGTTGGTTTCGAGGGATTCGATTGGTTACATGTCTGATCACGGATTGACATCAGTTAGAGAACCACTGGAAAGCCAGTACTGGAGTACAGGGACTGTTTATCAGAACACACCCACTACTGGCTACTAACCCACAACACCTTCTGATCACAAGCCCAGTTATTAGACTGACTTTACCGCCTTATTCTGCACAAACCAATGCTATTCTTGTCTGATCGATTCTTGTTATTATTATTACTAAGTCGTCATGAGTTCAGTAAATGATCTTAAAACCACCCATTGACTGAGATAGGGTCTGTTGTGATCTATGTGACCAATTTGATGGCGTCCAGAATTGATTTAATCAAGCGGGTTTATGCATGTGTGTATAATAACAACACTGACTCAATGAATAACTCAACTTATATGCTAAATACGCCTATTCGTCCGTGGTACCTTCCCTCTTCACTTAGCCACGTATATATCAAAATAAAAAACTGAAGCCTGTAACTTTTAGGATACAATTTTCCATTGGGAGAAGAAAGCAAGTCATATTTATGTATTTTGTAACCACATTAAAATCGGCCCAGGGCAGTGGAAATATATCATTCTGATTGACTAGAGATCCTACTAAGACCAAGATAAGAGAAGGGTGACGAAATTTTAAAACCTTCCGATCACACAGTGAATTACATTACGAGTCATAAGATGATTACTATTTTAAGCTGATTCTTATGACATTCAGCCATTACTGGGACCCAATTCAATGACTAATTAAATTCCTACTCCTACCATTTCGTGATTTTAACGCTTTTGCTAGCCACTGTCATTACCTGCGTTCTTACTAGACTTTGTGGACCCCGCTGGTAACCTGGCTTCCTACTAGAACTGCAAATAACCTCATCATATAGACAGTCAAGAGACAACATGAGATTATTTTCAAGAGTTTCAACCTCTGTGGTAGGTGCGTACTGCTGATGGGGAGTTTCAGCTCTTCAGTACTCGCTACTGTTGGTGGTTTTCATTGACTCTCTGGGTGATGTCAGTCTGTGATCGAATTTGAACAAATCAAATCCCCCTATGACAAAAATAGCTCTTGAAAATCATAATTTTAAAAAATCCTTTTTTTTCTTTCAGGGCGGAATGTATGTATTCCAGTTGTTTGATTATTACACTGGAAGTCGCATCATCTTGATTGTAGGATTATTGGAATCTACAGCAGTTGGATATATCTACGGTAAGTTACTTCGTTTGAAAATGACTTGATGCAATGTGACTTTATATTTTTGGCAAATATACTTACTGTTCAGCAATTTGCGTCATCCTCTTTTACAGTTGTGAGATATGGTATTTGAAAGTGGAAGAGATGAAGAAGTCAGTCCTGTGTGATTATAAGTTTCTGTATATGTTCTGTCTTCCATCTTGAGTGGTGGACTACTGTGGGCAACACTGACTTCAGCAATTCTGGGACTGATCTGTAACCATGAGGAAAGAGTCTTGTTGACTTAGAGTATGCTGATGAAGACGGTGATAAAATGCAACAAAGTCTTCTGAACTCTAACTACCTCCAGCATTAATCTTCGAATGTTTAGCATATAATTCCCCACACTACAGATCTGAGCTCTGGTGAGTACTATTGAAATATTTAGGCTTATACAGTGTTATTTATCGACGGTGAATCAGGGGATGTAGCCACCTCGACCGAGATGACTAGGGCAACAAGTGATACGCATGCTAAGTCACTGCGTTCTTCGTCAAAGAATGTTAACTGACGTAAGATTAGGCTGTGAAATAGCTCGGGTTGGGCAGATAAAAAACAGGATACCAATCCATGAAATCTAGAACCAGCCACTTAGGAAGGTGTAGACTGCTTGGCTAGAATCTTCCAGAAGCAAAGAACCAATGACTTGAAACTACTGATAACATGGCTTAAAATCCTTGTGGACTCCTATATACATTTTTTTACTCGTTTACGTTCCCAGTGGAACGTAGGGCTTCAAGCTAGATGCTTGAAGTTTCTATAGCAGTGGTGTTTATTTTTATGTGATGGGGTTACTAGTCTCATACCCAACCTTCCCTCTTTACTGGTGTTATTACTGGCTTAGTGAGGTAAATGAGTGCGTCGGCTGGGGATCGAACCCCGGACAACATGCGTGGTTAGCGAGCATTCTACAGCTGCACCACCGACGCCCCCTAGATACATTAATTTCTTATTATTATCCATATGATTCTTTTTGTCACTGATGAATTACCAAGTTCATTATTGTTTCCATGAATGCCATTTTTTCGTTACTCTGTCTAAATGCACCGAACTCTAGACAGACGTATAGCAATTCAATTTACCACACTCCATAATATGAAGCACACAAAGGTAAACAAAAGAGACTCAAAAAACTATAATGGGTCAAAATGTTTGGGTGAAAAAACAGTAACATGGAAAAAGACTCAAAGATTTAGTGCCTACGACAGATTGCACAAAGAGTGAATGCAAGTGCACCTCTGACAGCAATTTTAAGCTATATCAACAACAGTCTTTTGACCATTGGATCTTAGCACCTTGAGGACTCCAAAGAGTCAGACAGTTTACACTTCACTACATAAGTGACTCAAATTAAATACTAAAAAAATTTCATACATGAATTCCCTTTTATGAATCTGAACATAGAAAGAACAGACATCCGTGCAAAGTAGCATGGATCCATTACCTGAGGAATGCTTGGAAGAAAACGGTTACACACGAAGCTTCATTAACAAATATGGCAAGAATGAACGCAGGAAGCCTGATGCAGCTACGGTCAGCATGAAGCTATTTTTTGCCAAACTTGACTTCAAAAGTGATGATACTATGAAAATCATAAATAAGAGAACATGCGCAGCCCTGTCTAGGGCGTATCCTACGGCAGAATCAGTCTCTCATCTAGGAAGATCCTCCTCATTGGTCCAGTCAAAGATCGACAAGTACTCCTCATATGTTACCTCCACTAGTGTTTACCGATTCACATGCATCTGCGTGAGCGGTTACATCGAAAGAACAGAAAGAAGAAGGGCCTACATCAGCTTCTTCGGACATATCTCAAGGAGCTTCCAGTTAAGTGGCCCAAACAGTTTAAGCTTTCCATTCACCAAATGCCTGAAATACACAAGACATCCAGTGGACAATTATTTTTCTTGACCCTATGAGTTCTACTCAACATACAATATTATCGTCTCTCCGTTTTACCTCTCGCACACCAGATTTCTATCTTCTCCTTTCTAACTAGGTAATTATCACTAATTTTGGTTACCACCCTAACAACAAATTTGTCAGTTAATTCTCGAGAAACTTATCTCTAACAAGATATATATATAAATACGTACTGTAATGCCTCAGATAACTCATCATCCTGGTGTTTTATATCATTATGACACTCTTACAATACGCCTGTTGGTAGACAAAAGCAAGTTAAAATTGTATGCTGACTTATTTTACTAAAGAATGTAGGTTGTTTGCAGCTGATGAGATGAACCAACGAAATAGAATGGAATCATGTTATTCTGCACCAGTGTTTGTTCTTTCTCTGCTCACATATCAAGGAATTTATGGATTAATGATAGGTTTTAGTCTAACCACCCGTACCCAGCTCCTTTCCAACCTTATCCTATATCATCTAACTTTTCTCGTGGAGGAAGACGGTGGCTCGGAATGCGAAAAATGTGTCCTAATAGTCTCAGTCGATATACCTTGAAAACCTCATAGACCGACACCCCCGCCTTCTCTCTAATATAAGACCCTGTGCCTAAACATCTCAATACTACTCGCCATATTGTATCACTTGACACAGGAGATGGAAAGTAAACATCTAGAGTTAAATATCTTTGAGTCTTAATGCACGATTTTAAATAAAGTAAGACCACTTGAACTCAAGCTCATTTCAACTCACTTTAGTTCAGTCCAACTGCATATCACATATGTTGAAAAGGATGACCTCCGTTACCCAACCCTCAGATCAACGCCCAACTCGTCATTCGCCAATCTGATTGCACTCGAGGGCCAATCCGATGAATATTCTCCATAGGGCATTTGTCCTATTCATCTCCATTTTCTTCGGCCTATTTGTTGGTCTTCGGGTTATTAGTTGGTCCGTTGTCTGCAAGAATTTCTTGTTGCCTATCTTTACTGTGACTGGTCAACTGATCTTAAGTATTGGGGGGAGGGTTAGCAAAAGTAACAGTTGTTGGTAGAAGTCTGCATTAGCCTGTTAGGAATGCTTTCCCTGTCACACGCCAAGTTTCTGAATCATATAGAAGAACTGACTGATTGAACATTAGTGTTTAAAATCTTGATCTTACTTTTTATGCTGAGGGAGTACAGTGGATTTCCACACTGATATCAGATGATTAATGAACGTCCGTGGTTGTTTATCTGATCCAAGCTGCTTTTGAAATCTTCATCTGTGCCTCCCACCACTAGTTGAAACGATACCACCCAAATACCCATTGAGCCATAAAGAATATAAGAGAGACAATTCAGCCAAGAGAGCCGTTTTCTTTATCGACGAAATCATCTTCAGAGGCTGTACAGTCGTATTTATGTTTACCAAAAATGTATAGTAGTCTATTATCGAGTAATAAGAGGGGGGTTCATAATTCACACAATTGCTCAGAAGTAGCTTCAAAAGTAAAAACAAAAGTTATAAATTACGAAATACTCAACGGCGAAAAGTAAGAAAGTGTTAAAAATCTGATAAGGTTAAAGTTGTTATTGAGTGAGAAGAAAGGTGATAGTTGAGTGTCCATTTAGCAGGTGTGAAGAGGATGAGAAAATGTGAGAACATGTGTTTGTTTTTACATTGAATTAATTATTAGAAATTGAAGCAAACTAATCATTAAAACTAAAAACAAAAAATTACAGGGAAGACTAATGAAGAGTTTAAGACCATCGTAGAATAAGAGACTGGACTATTTTTTTTCTGTATACAGAGTTCGGGGCTGTATTGACGTTGAATTTTCAATGCCTTCGCCGTACATAAATGCCGAAACCTAACTTCCTTTGTATCATTCGGTCTCACCTTGCAGAATATCTAAAGACGACTCCAGTGGGGCTGCCTGTCTTGAGTTTCTCAAATGCTCGAGAATTGAGCTAGTAACTGTCTTGCATTACCCTCTTGCTAACTATTCTGTAAACTGTTCAGAGATGCGTTTGCAAAGTATGCGCTTTGTGCGGCCAGTATAACCAGCACCATAGGAAGAGGTGAATTCATAAACACACATTGTAGTGGCCCAAAGCGGCATTTTATCCTTCACACATCCATTGATCATTTGTCGACTGTAGAAAATGATCCGTAGCTCAGCTGCAAAGGAGGCCTTCTTCAGTGATCTGCATAGGCAATTCTTCAAGATCTCGGCCGTGGTATCACCTTTAATTTCAACTTTCATAAATAGCAGTTTCTCTGGCACCGTTTAGGGTGTTTCAAGCTCTTCTTTTACTTTCATGTTTTTCTCGGTAAATCTCGGCAGATATCCATTTTCCGTGAAGGCTTGTCTAAATCGTTTCAGTTCACTGGTACATGTCCTTCTTGTTCCTGAAGAAAAAGAGTGGATCAGATTTCTCTTTTGTATCGACTTCTGAGTAATTATGTCAACCCCCCTAGCTATTACTCAATAATGGACTACCAAACATTTTTTGGTAAATATAAATACGACTGTACAGCCTCTGAAGATGATTTTGTCGACAAAGGATCACTTTTTTTCTCTGAATTGCCTTCTATTTTCTTCACCACCCAAATATATGAAGGAAGTGATGTGTTTCAAATCTCTTCGGCTGGTTGTCCTTGATGCTTGTTGTTGTTGTTTTTGGTCAGTCGGTCATATTCCTCAACCATGTCGTCTTTATATTCACTTGAGAGCGCCCGTCTTCGCAGACCGCTACTCTTCTTTCAGATTGTTGGTTTTCACCTGTGATTGTTACGTAAGCATAATTGCTGAAATTAATTGTTAATACAATGTTACAGATGTTGAATAAAAGTGGGAGAATTATGCAATGATTTAAATAATTTTGCTGCCAAGGTCCAAAATAGAAACGAGCGGAAATGTGAGATTCTGAACCTTTTTTACAGCTTCCATCCTGCAATTCAATTCACATTAGGGAAAGAGTTTGACAAAAAATATCTTTTCTGTACGTTCAACTAACAAGACGTGAACAAGAAGGAACAATAAAAATATCCATTTACAGAAAGCCGACATAGAACGGACAACTAACTCACTAAATTTCACAGTTGGGTGCCTGTATGATATACTAGACGAAATCTGATACGTTCACTGGACCACAGCATTTGCAGCCCTGATATTATAAAAGAGGATCTGAACACTCTGAAAAGAATCCTCCTGGGAAACGGTTACTCGAAACGCTGCTTCATCATAAAATCTATGAAGCCTAAGCCACTGAAACCACCTACGCAGTTTACTTCTAAAAGAATTGTCTACCTGAATCTACAATTCAATGGGAACTAATCAGCAGAAATACTGGGAAACCTGGGCACTGTGGTAGAGTATAACTCCATTATATTTGGTCAATTCCACACATGTATATAATTGAAGGAAAAAGTTGTGTGAGTAGCTTGATATGATTATGAGCAATAATTTGTGCTCGAAACGTCATCAGTTAATATTACTAACACTATGTGACTTATCAAAATAAAATCTTATCTATAATGGAGTTATACTGGGAAACCACCTGTCTCACTGCTCTCTGAAAAAAACCTTCATCGCGGATGGACTCTGACTTTCTCCATAAAACCAGTGGTTCGTATGAGCTTAGTGAAGGATACACTACCACTACTGGCTCCCTCATCAATGTACATCTACCAATTCACCTGCTCGTGTGTAGCCGAGTATGTCAGCCTCACGCATTGTTTGTTATCCAAACTTATCAGCGAACATGTACCCATTGTCATGGCTTTATACAGGAGAAAAAAGATCCTTCCCAGCCACAACAGCTCTATCGTGGAGCACTTCATCCAATCTTCACATTAAGCTAACCCACAAAGGAAATTCAAACTTAACTACAGAATACGCGGGAATGTTGTGAAAAGAGTATGAATCAAGCTTCTTCTTCCAGCCACAGAAGTAATTGAATTTCACATGCATGTTATGTTTCTAACTGTGCAGACGAAAGAAGTTTGTTCAGTCATTAAATTTTTCATTGTAAAAGTAATTTTTGTATTTTCTCTCTCATAACTATATTATTTTCTCCCTTTACTCCCTGTTAAGATTCCATCCCTTATTAACACTGTTGTTAACTTGATTATCGTTAGGTTTTAGCTGTATTCTGCTCAACCCTGTCAGTGAATTATATTACACCATTCAATTTGCCTATTTAATTTTATTTTAGTTTCTGTCCGATTAACGCTTTTCGTATCACGTAATTTGTTATCTAGAAAATTTTACAATTCTAATGACACACATCTTTGAAACATTCCTTTTGTTGCATATATATATATATATATATATATGCAACTGCACATCTTGAGAATAATGTCGCTGAGAAAAAGACTAGTAACTCTTCGCTGGACGCCTTTTCTTTTAGGTGTGATCTTAAATGAGAATCGGCAAGAGTTAAAAATAAGTCACACTGATAACAACAATGTCACTGACATAACAGTAGAAAAGGGTTGAAGAATTCTGTTTTGCAAACAGAGCTCCGGTTTGTCTGTCTGTCTGTATAGATCAGTTCTGCAGCCAGAAAGAAATGAAACCAAGTTGGTTCACGGATGGATATCAGTTAGAGAACCATTGAAATCCGCCAGTGTTTAGTAGTTAACAGCTGTTTTAACCCCCTACAGTTTTGAACTCTTTGGAAGTACGCACCCATGACACCAGAAGGGACAGAACCTGGGAAATTTCAGGATGTGAGGCGGACTCATATACCATTCAGCCACTGCAACTGAATCCGATGTCCCACGAATTTTAATTTCTGTTGACTGACTATTTTAACGTGCCCACCACCACACATTGTCACCAGCTAGTATTTGTCTTCACAGCGGATGGCCTGAATAGACCCCGCTGGTAATGACTTCTCACTTGAGCTCCAGTCAACTTCATCCTGTAACTACTCACTGGTGACTATAGAATTAATTTTCAGGTTAGTTGGTTTGTAGGGATTGAATTTGCTTGAAGTTTGGTCACGGACTGATATTGTAATGGTAGGTCACTTGTGAATCCTCCTGCCCTACACGCCGACATTGCTCAACTTCTCAGAAGCTTCCCCAGTACCACTGGCTGCGCCGTCACGATGCCTGCAAATTCATCAATAACACTAAAATCCTTCTTTGAAAGTAGCAGGCCTAAGGATCTTCGTTACTCGAAGGTAGAGAAACCAAATGAAACGGTAGAACACAAGCCTATTTGGTACCGGAATTATTCATCGGCAACTTGATGGACAGATTTAGGTGAAATGCGTCACCCATACATTTAGATCACAGTTTGCACAAATCTTTCGTATTGTACTCCTTTAGTTCATGTTCCTTTCATTTTTTCCAAGTTGTTTCATAGGCATTGTTCATCATCATTTCTTCTCTTTACTATTAAATCCATCCACCTCTCCGCTATCTGATAAACGATAAACATATGTATATCTGTATCTATATACTACTCCTAACTATTGTCAATAACACAAGCCAAAGTATTAGTTAGAGACACATTTGAAATCTAGCAGGGAGTACTGGGTAGCTGTCCCTCTGGATTTCATCCCAACTGAATGAATGGTATTCAGTAAGATTAGCCCCGCATCCTGACGCTCCCAGGTCAGACCCTTGTTGAAGTTATAGGTTCACGGCAATGAAGAATGTCAAAGAAAGAGGATGAAACATCTGTTCAGTGCTCTCTGCTGCTACTGGTTTTCATTAGTTCTTTAACCGTCATATGAATCCGTGATCAAACTTGAAATAAATCAGACTTCCCCTTATAAACTTACTCTTGAGAGTGAAATCATCAAAAAGAGCTCCTTTCCGTTGACTTACTCGTTTGACTTTTCAGTAGTACCTGAATGATTGCGTAGGTGATTAATTTATGTATGGAATTTGGACACATTGGTAAAATGTTCTTCTATATTTTGATGTGGTTGTGTTCTCTGAGCTGGGTAGTTAACTTGAGAAGCTTTCATCGCCTTACTAGGTGACATCTTCAGCGCATACTTCAATTTAAAGTGAGCTTTAAGATTTCTCCAGGAGTTTATTAATCATCTCCCCCTGTGACCTAGGGCGTGATTGGTTGTTTTAGTGTGTTTTATCACCTTCTAGGTTACTTTGATCGGAACTGATTGTTTCTTTGACTTCAACTTTGACTCTTTGTGTGTGAGGTTTCTTTCTTATCGGTTGATAAAATTTGTCTATCTCGATGTGTCTGTTGATTGATAATTCACTGGAATGCCAAGCTTCTAAAAATTCTCAAGCATTCTTGTTGTTTCTTCTGTCTAATATTTGAACATTGTCCTAGTCGAATTGATTTCCGTGGTTGTCTGTATGTAGTGATATGAGGGAGTGGATATCATGTCTTTTGACGCCTACCTTATGTTCGTGGATACGAAGACGAAGGGGACGTCCACTTTGGCCAATGTAGTGTTTTTCGCAGTTGTTAGAATTTATTTTGTAGTTGATGTTGGTTTTATCTTCTTTCGCTGTAGAGTCTTTTGGTTGACATAGAACTCAGTCAAGTGATTTTGTTGGTTTGTGTGTGACGTCAGTTCCTAAAGGTTCGAAGAGTCCTGAAGTGATTTCTGAGGTATCCTTTATATATGGTAGAGCAATTTTCTTTGCGCTTTCCTTGAAGGCTTTTGGTTTGATAGGTTGGCTTGGAAGTATATGTCTTTTGATGAAATTCAGTGGATATCCATTCTCTTGAAAGACGTTCATGAGATATCTTTCTTCAATTTTCCTTTAGGTGGGAGTGCTGCAACGAGTCCTGACCCTCTTGAATAGTGTTTGCATACAATTCCTTTTGTGTGTTATTGGATTGTTGCTGTTGTATTTCAGTATTTGGTCTGTGTGAGTTGATTTCTATAAACCTGAGTTTCTTCTTCTATATTAGATAGGTTAATTTTAAATATCACACACAGTGATGCAGTATTAACAACTGGATGACGTTTCGAACACTGTATATTGCTCAAAACGATATCAATGTATGAACTCGGCTTCATAATTTGCTTTATATATGTACTTTTTCCCTCCCTCTCTCTCTCTTCCTCTTGTTGTTTGTTGCCAATTTCCACATCTGTGGAAATGACAAAAATGACAAAAATAATATAGAACTCAAAGCTCTGTAGTACTGCCATATAAAGAAGGAACATCAGAGACTCTACTATGTAGGATTGACAATGAGTCTGGAATTAGTCGGGGTGGCATTTAAACCAACCAACCAACCAACACTCTCAGAGATAAACTATGTCAGTTGAAGGATCCAACAGATATAATTAAGAAAAATAATGTAATGCACCAAATAGTAAGTTAAATAACCTAGAAAAAAGCTCAGCCAATGCACTGCATTCACTTTCATGTAATCACAAAATAGAGTGGGACAGGGTGAGAGTATAAAAAATTAATATAGTTACGTGGAGAATGGGGGAGGTTAATCACTGAAGCTTTGTTTATCGATTCAACACCACACACGTGCTATCGGAATGGCTCAACATCATACCAGAGATATAGAAGGTGACAACAAACAACAAGGGAAAGAGGGAGAGAGAGAGAGAGAGAAAGAGAGATAAAATATGTGTAAGATAAATTGTGAAGCCGTGTGACTAAACTGATGTGATTATGATTGGCAGTAATTCATGCTCGAAATTCTGTCATCCAGTTATTAATACTGCACTAACACCATGTGATATTTAAAAGAAAGTTATATAATAGGGATTGCTTTGGTGGTTCATTGGTTGAGTACTCGCATAACCGCTTACGTGTTTTGGGGTTCGATTCCAAGCCGATGACTTGCTTGCTCCTGAACCTCGCTTATACCGGCAAAGAGGGAAGCATGAGGTTGGCGTAAGGCTAGCGAAACCACCGCAACTAAAAATGCAAAGCTGATCAGCAGCTTGGAACACAAACGAATGAATATAAATAGCAATCCTTGGATATGGGGATTATTCATAAAATAAAATAAATGAAATCTTTGCGAAACTTAACGAAAAATTGTTTTTTTTTTTTGTTTTTCAGGTTTCAAACGTATTTCAGATGATATGAAATTAATGTATGGTGTTTCCTTGAAATGGTTGGCATTCATATTTTGGTGCGTATTAACGCCGATATTCACTCTTGTAAGCAACATTACTATTAGAGATATTACTATTATGTCTTTCAAACCATAAGAGGCTTGAAATCATTGACCCAGAAAGTTAGCAGGCGAATACGCATTTTTGTCCTGAATTTCTCATCAATGGCATACACAATTACAAATTTGTATTTTATGACTCCCTTGTGTTCCGAGTAGAATCTAAGGCTTCACTTGTAAGGAAACATCTCTATTTTATCCTCTTCTCTGCAGTCTTTTTTAGCTGTCCCTACGATTACCAATAGGTTGTCATATCCTCAGTATACAGTCTCCTCCATGTCACCCTCAGTGACACATGCCTAACTCGTCCATCTCTGTTCGGCTTCAGCTCCAGCAACGGTGTGCCTTGAATGTGCTATCAATCAACGGTCTCCTCAGTACGTGTGTACTATCCATCTCCACTCGCTGTGACATGTGTGTCGAACAAAAGGTTCCTTATTGGTTTGCTACCAGAGTTCTTTGTGCGTCGGTGGCACAGCGGTAGAATGCTCGCCAACCACGCAGGTGGTCCGGGGTATCGATCCCTGGCTGAGGCACTGCCTAACCTCACTAAGCCGATAATAAGAACGGTAAAGAGTGAAAGTCGGGCATGAGGCTAGCAACTCCATCCTGCTACAGAAACTTCAAGCCTCTAGCTTGAAGCCCTATGTTCCACTGGGAACGTAAAGGAATGAAAACAAACCAGAGTTTTTTGCTTTTAAATTCTTTCTGGCCGGCCACCTGATCTTTAGTATGGAGCCATAGAAGACAGCTGTTGATAAAAGTCTGCAGCTGGATGTTGGAAATGCTGTTCTTGACACTCTTGCCAAGTTTCTGACCTTTATGGAAAAACTGAGTCAACTAACTTCTGTTTGGCTGGAAGGCTTCAGCTCATGATGAAATCCTTCAACCAACCAAACAAAATCCCTACAAAAACCAATACTTGAAAACTTAACATTTGTGTTTAAAATCCGGATAGTGTAGCAGATTTCCAAACTGATTTCAGAGTGACGAAGGTCTGTCTTGCTTTTCCGATTCTGCCTCACTTTGACATCCTCGTCTACTCCACTTGTAGTTGAAACGATACCATCTAGCCAGATAAATGAAGGGAGTGACCTCTTTCAAACGTCTTTTGTTGATAGTGACTTGTACCTGTTGTTTCTGTTGATTAGTTAGCTTCATCACCTCCGCCTCCTCTATCCTCACTTGAACTGCTGTCTTTACTGATTCTTCCGAGAACTTGTTGGTTTTTGCCTCTAAGTCTTTGAATTTGTTTGTTATTAATCATAAATCATTCTTAAAATCCACAAGCATTTGGAATAATGTAGATCAATAGAATTAAATAGATTCAAAATTCAGGGATGTCAGTGAGTGGATAACAATTGAGGTGATCATAAATAATAATAAAGTGTGAAACTAAGAGTAAAATATGCAACTGTAGCACATAGTATGCTATTGATAATACAGTTAGTAGTACAAATAAAAATATATAAATAATATTTACAGTTATCCGGTGTCACACTGGCAGTAATAACTATTCTAGGTTGCGGGATGGAGTCAGAGGCCATGGAATATACAGGAAGTGAAAAAACTTTTTCTCTGAACAAACAGATAACTGTTTTTATGGCAGCTGGCCTCACTCGCCTACGCTTAGCAGTCTTGAAGGAGTACAAATGTAGGGAAATGAAAGGCGGGGCCTTGTATACAATCAGTGGTAAAGGCTGAATTTTTTATTAATCTTGTGCTCCGTATCCATCACAACATGTGCCAGCCAACATCGGAACTCCTGAGGGACTCTACGACTCCTTTACCTAACTAATCAAGTTGGACACTGCTCAAGAAGCCGACTGTGGACTTGTCGTAAGAGTCGTTATACTAACTATTTAACTATTTTCACGAGAACAGTTAAATTTATGAATACACACTGAGGTAGCCAAACTCGATAGCTTATTCTTCACCTGTATTGGAAACAGATAACGACTGGTGTATTTTAAACATCGCACTGAGGGGCAAAGAATGTTTCAGCTATTATTATTTTAGAGTTTTGATACCAGTAACTCAGTGGCTGTGTCTCCTTCAAACAGTAAAGTTAAATAGATACGTGCATTTCTTCTACGCAATTTGCAAGCATTTCTCACTTTGTCGCTTCTGTTCATGGAGAATTTAGCGAATTTCTCTGGATATCTGTCCTCATATAATAAGTTTTTTTATTTTCCTTATTTCATCGTCCAAAGTGTCAGCTGTGAGGATTATTCTAATGAGATTTCGTTTGTATGCAAGAGGAAAAAACGACCCGAAAAAATGGGTGCATTGGCCAACTCATGATTTCTCTTTTGCGGAAAGCATCCCATTTTATAATACTCTGTTATCTTGTCTTTTTGTTAACAGGAAGTCAAGAAACGATAGGGTATTGCCTTTCTTTGTTTCATATGTGAAGTCATCGCCGATTATTGAATCTTCCTTTATTATTTGAGAGAATTTTTATCTGCTATTTTTCTGTTTTGGGGCAGTTTTGTCTTTCAATCCAAAAAGCTTTCTCAAACTTGCGTCGTCACTGAGACAATTTTTTGAATTATTCCTTATATAATCTGATTTCTGTAGTGAGGTAACTCCGCCACGTTGATCAAGTCTTCACTGTTGGTGATCATTTCTTCCATTTCCATGATGCATCACTTAGTCAAAAGTCCAGAACAGTTGATTTGAAGCCTTACAATTCTTCGTCACACACTAAGGAACTAAGTCTTTCTCATTTAACTAATGAAACTCTCAAACCCCAATGATGTATGAAAAGAGGATGTTTTAGTTTTTTTAATAGCAAAACTTTCTGCCAAGTTATAATTAAGCCTTCAGGTGTCTTGCAGACATTTCAGAAACAGTCCTCTGGGTTCAAGATATTTCGATTGGTTTTACAGCTCAGAAACGTTTGCTCAGTTTCCATTTTTACACTTTTCGGATTCACGTTGTGTTGCAAAGCCAATATGCGACAGTGTACATTGGCAGCAAGATTCATAGCACGACATTTTAGAAACAGTTCTCTGGTGAGGATGCATACGACTTTACTTCAGAAAGCCTGACAGAAAGATGAAGACGAAAATTTCGCTCCTTCACTGTAACTGTGTAAACATTGACGCAAATTGTTGTCTATAATTTTGGCTTGCAGACAGCTCTCACCAGACTCGTCACCCCTTCAAAGACTGTCGACTGAAGTTGGTTCGGCCTTCTTGGTTCTGATGGCTTTGTTCCTTCGTCTTCCTGTCTGGAGTTCCGGCACTGGCTGACGTTCTCTCCTTTCTCTTTGTTTACCTTTGCGATCGTATCAACGTGACCCCGTCTCAAAGTGACCATGTATGGTCCTTCCCACTTGGGACCAGGGGAAGCAACGTCTTCTGATTGGTTGTTTTCTTGCTGAAGATTGTTGTGTACTGCTTGTGTTCGTTTCTTAGAAAGTTAAGCCATATGTCTGCGAATCGTATTTGCATATGTTAATTCTGCTATGATTGGTTGGTGAGTTCCTCAGGATTAAGCTTTGTAATTGTTTTTTCTCATGAACCCGATTCGGGACGAAAAGATTGATGTGAATTGTTGTCTACAATTTCGGCTTGCAGACAGCTCTCACCACAGTTAAACACCTGGTGTCCTTTTAAGTATGAAAAATACCCATATGATGGTTGCGCTATATATATATATATATATATATATATATATAATCATTAGATAACGGCCTCAGCTATTAATCCTGATATGGGTGATCCCACTGGTGTTCTTTTTATCTGTTCGAACATTTTATTAGTGAATTAGAAGTGTGTTGTAAAATATAGTTCTCTGAGTTTCATCCAAGTTGAACACTGTGTTTTTTGTGTTTTTCATCGCTATAGAGTAGTTGTTGCATAGTTTCTTTCGCTAGTTTTGAAACAGTTGAAGTGTATAACGCTGTAACGTGAAAGGACACTATTATTTCATTGTCATCCACTTGAATGTTCTTTATTTTTTCTAAAAGTCAGTTTTACGATAGACTGAAACTGCACAAACCAAACATTCTCTTATGACCAAACGTTTCGCTATCAGGACCACCAACATATAACCTATCTGATGAACTTTTCAGAAAATTAAAATATCCATCAAATTCGCGAGAACACCCTATCAATTCACCAATCTAAACATTTTTAGGCTTCTATAAATTCCCTGGAAACACAAAAATGCAGTCAGGGAATTCCTAGAAGCCTGGTACTCGAATAAATTGGCAACCAACTAATAAAGAATAAATCACTTGATTATAAAGTTCAAATTCTAAGTCAATAGAAATGATCAAGAGAGATAGGTGTAAATTAACAACCAATCACGACAACAAAGGTTGTCAGGAGATACAATTATATCATCATTCATGGAGGGAGAATTCAAATAAGTTCATCTCATTCTGAAGCCTTCTCTGAAGGAAGATATTGTTGAGAAGGTGGACAACGAAAGCTTCGCAGTTAAACCAGCCAGCTCAGACAACACAACTACATAAAAATAATCCGCCGTAGTTACAAATCTCTTCCATTATGATATCCTAATGTTGGTCAATTTCCAAGATCTACGGGAGGAAAACCAAAACGTTTGATAGAAGAAGCAACTAACGAAGACAGGGCTCCAATTAGATGAAGAGAGAAGCAGAGATGATGAATATATGTGACCAATAACAACAAGCATCTATCACCATCAACAGGAGGTATCTAAAGGAAGTTACCTCCTTCACTAACCTAATCTAGGCGGCATCGTTTCAACACTACAGGAGGTTAGGACGGACGGTTAGCATCAAAAAGGGTAGGACAGATCTTCATGCATTTAAAAGTGATATGAAAATCTGTTACACTCATAATAAATAACAACAACTTTCGAAATGATTACAGCGACGTCAAGGCAGTTAGTTTTTCTAATATATTTCGCAGACTTCTCATGAGAGTAACCAAAATCATTTCAAAAGGGCTACTGTAAACTTTCATCGACAGCCGTTCTCTCTGCTCGGTACTCAAGATCAGATGACTGGACAGCCGGAAAGAATAAGCAACAAAGGACTCGGCAACGAATGAACCAATAAATATGTAGAAGAAGACGGAATCAGATGAACTGAATATACACTGTGGAGACCACTGTCTGAAATCGAAAAGGCTTGACAAGCTCCAAAGTGGAATCACAATGTGAAGTCATCAACTAGTTAGGCGTTTGTCTGTGAGGGTAGTGACATTTTTTTTTATTTTTTTTTTTTTTTTATTTTGATTTACAGCTTGATTCCACACCGTATTTTCAGTACAAGTGTGGAATTTTCAGCATGGATATCGGTAGCCCAAATTCAGGCCGACCATAGATATCGGGTGTGCGCCGGCAGGGGATCGAACCCCGGACGATGTGCATGGTCGGCGAGAGTCCTAACCCTGTGCCACCGACGCACACATGGAGGAGATCGTTTGAGGCGATAGAGATGAAAGCTTGTGAGCAGTCATACAGTCAGTTAAAGAAGACTTCAGAAAACAGAATGAAATGGAGATATGCTGATGATGCCCTATGTTCCACTCGAAACTCTGTAGTGCAATAATAATAATAATAACAATAATAATAATAATAATTGCTGCCTTTAACAAGTCATTTAGCATTCCTCTTTTCCTTCTTCTTTTCTCCCCCCTACCTCGGCTTCCTGCCATATATATTCAGATTCTCTTCATTATCAGTGCCATTGTGTATGAAGAACTGACATATAAGCGGGCGTCATCTAGTCATGTCTATCATTTTCCTAGCTGGTCGGTGAAATTGGGTTGGTTTATGGCAAGTTTCAGTATATTTCTTATACCATGTGTAATGATAATCAAGCTTATCAGAACACCTGGAAAGCTTCTACAAGTGAGCGAAATACCCTTGAATAAATTTTATATCGCTATTTCTCGTGTTTGAAACATTTATTTATTTATTTGTATTATTGTCATCGTCATTCTAATTCATTCATCACTTTCCAAGTGGAACATGTAGGGCTGGATTCCGTCGGAACATATCTCTGTTCAGTCTGGTTGTCAGACATCTCCCTCAAGAGGCTCCACAACTACCCATAAGCCTTTATTTCCTTCTCACCGTACGATTTTCAACATGTCGTCTTCTGACCCTTCCCATTCGATTTTCTCTTGAGGGCATGGCTAGCGTGTGACCCCATCCAACGGTTTCCATTACATTTGTTCAGTTTTTATCTGTTTCCTAAAACTATAATTGATAATTCTGGAATTAGGACGATATGTAGTCAAAGTCCTCCATAAAGGACCTGAAAACATTCGAAGGTGGATTAAACTTCCGTCCCCCTCTCTCTCCCACCCCCTCTCGAAATGCTCTCATGTGGCCACAATTTCATAGCCTCTTCCAAGCTAGTCCCACTTACTGCCTTCACGCGACTCGGCAGATGTTCTGCGCAAAAGCGAAAGGCCGAATTTCAACGTCTGGAGCTTACACAAATGGACTGGTGAGCATGTACGTCCAAATGGGGAAGCCAGCAAACCTTGACCTTGATTCCAATCCTATAGTGCATATGGGCTTCAGAATCCGAAAGAATCAAGTAACACTTGAATGTGTTCTGGTCACCAAGAACCAGATAAGGAGGAGTTTTCCTGATACTGCTCCACTGCCGTGCAGATTAGACTTCAAGTCAAAGGCTCTGAGCGATGGGTGGCCCCTTAAGACAGTTACCTGCTTCAGTTTGAGCTTCCGAGGAATATCTCAGTCCTCATAATAACTATAAAATTTTGTGTGACGCATCTCTTAGTGGTCATAATGTACCAAGTTTGTTTTAATAAGGACAAAAATTCAGTAAAAGTGTCCATGCTGTGGAAAGATTTAGACGGTTCTAAACAACTACCCTCTTTTTTCGGTTTATTCTGACACTCTTTTCGGTGGGCATTGTTTCCTACCTGCCTCAGATTATGAAACCAAATTCAATGCAGTATAATTCCTAGACTTCATCATTCCATGACGTAGCACAGTATACATTCAGATAGAATCAGTAATTCGTCAACCTCATAATGAGTTTGATGTCCTTGCTGGCTCAGAAATTCCTAATAAAATTCTCGGAATTTCCGTTCGAAACATCCTCAGTGACATATGGGGCTTCAACAGCACATCTCCATTGTACTCGCCTATTCGCTTTGACACTTAACTGTCTCCATGACTGCATGGATGCTCTCGTTCCCCATCCACATGATCTCCTCCATGTAATCCTCATACGCATGTCCAACACGTCGCTTCCCACTAGAGTTCGGCGTAAGGGTCCACCTGGTATTTCGCGTCACTTAGACTTCTCCTTAGCACGTTAGTTCAATCCTTCATCACCATTTCTTTCTGTATTTCCGTTGGACAATAGGTTGGTTGCTCGCTCGATGACAGACTTCCTTGCTGCTTATCCTTTCTGGTTAGCCAGTCATCTTATCTTCGTCGTCGCGGCACTGAAGTAGGCAAATATTGGCTGATATAAATTTTCAGTAGCTTCACATAAATGCTTCTGACAACTCACGCGCCTATTCTTTGAATCATGTAGAAGCACTGGATGACTTGACATTGGTGTTAAACAAAAAGTAGGACCTTATTTTTCTTCCAAGCTGTCATTAATAAGTAATACTTATGAAGAGTATAAGAAACACCGTTTAGTCGAACCGTTTCGCAAAAGGTTAGCAATATTAGCCCCAAAAGGACACCAACTTCGAAAAATAAGTGAAGAGAACAACTAAGGATCAGCATGCTTCGAAAACACTAAGTACTCGAAAGCCTCCTGACAAATAATAAAATAAGGTTGGAGTAACTGTCATTCCTTTGAACACCCTGTGGAACATAACGATTCAAACGTCGAGCTTTGAAGTTTCAGTAATGTTTTTGCCGAATGGCTTCAACCTACGTCCCTGGGCTCATTGTCACCTAGGCGATATTTAGGAGTGCATCGGTGGCCATCAAGCTACCGCCAAATGCCTGTCACAGCCTACAGTGTTCAAGCAATGAGAGCGGGAGTACCAGGACTACGAACACCTGTGGAACACCATACAGCTGTTCGGCTAATCTCAGACAGGGGTCGCTAGCCATGTCCCACGACTTGATTCATTTCAGGGAAAGAGCCGATTCAATTCAAAGCATCCAAGTTCTGGCTGCTTAGTTGCTTGTGTGTGTAATACGTTGAATCGAATTCGCCCCTTCCAAGTGAATTCATGATTTGAAATTTTACACAGTTCAAGATTAAATTTCGTCGTAGTTCGCCTGAAATCTAGATCGCGCACAGTATATAGTCTACTTGGTGACATGTAAATAACAATCAAGAAGATAACCACGAGTACACCAGTTGCATATACTACTGATAGATTGGTATGAGTAGTTGGATAACACTACTCGCATCAATCAGTAGTGCTTACTAGCTAGTCAGATCCTTAATATATGTGTAAAACTTGGGCACTGTGGTAGTAAGTAATTCCATATTAGTTTGTTTATTAAATGTATCACAGTCACTGAAACAGTATTATTTACTGGATGACACAGTTTCGAGCAAAATTTATTGTTCATAATCATATCAATTGTAATCATACGACTTTGAAACTCGAGTTTTATAGTTTTCTTTGTCCTTTCACCCCTGAGATGACAAATAGGAGAGGACAAGGAAAACTATAAAACTCGAGTTTCTTAGTCTCGTGATTATAACTGATATGATTATGAAGAATAAATTGTGTTGGAAACTGTGTCATCCAGCAAATAATACTGTTTCGATACTGTGTGATACATCTAATAAACAAACTAATATAGTCAGACCCTTCTTCCTGTGGATACGCAGTATGTCTGCTCAATCGTCACACACGAATGAGGTTGAGAATGATAAGAATATTTGGTGATTTCTTATTACATTCTCCCTGAGCCTCCCAAAACTGGTAATTTCCCAAGAAGAATCACACATGAATATTAGAAATGTGTGTGAGTCGGAGGTATTCTGACTACAAATATATATATATATATATATATATATATTAGCACGACAGTCATAGAAAAAAGCATTGTGAAATATTTATATGCCTCAACACTGTGTCGACTTCTGGGTGTCCATCCGCCTGGTGAAATCTGACTGGTTGGTTGCCCCCCAGATAATGGCGCATAGGTTCTCAATATTTGTGCAGTTCTAATTCCGACTTACTGACAGACTATCGATCTAGTTGGACCATTGTTTCAGTCACTGGGCTCCCGGCATTTTAACCCGACAATATGCCTAAACTCTATAGCATTTTTGTTGTTTTAATCCTGCATTTATGTTGTGTGATCACTAAATACGCTGGAAATTTTTGTATTGTGGTCACATATTGTCTGGAATAAAGCTTTATCATTATAGATCTGCGGATATACATAACAGAGCTATCATCATGTTTTTCCCCTTTGTTGACTAGGTTCTTATCGGGTTACTGCTATCCTTATGTGTGAATGTGTGTGCTAGTGTTCAGTTTGTCCACAATGGTCGAAATATTTCACCAGTAAATTAAGTATTTAACTCACAGTTGTTACTGAAAATCAAACATTTTATTAAAACACCTCATTTAATATTTTTTGTTTTCCTATATTTTGCAACATTCTATTACCATTTAATAATGAAACCCAACGAAAGCGAATCAAAACGTTGTGTACTCCAGCTCTTGGAAATCCTGATATAAGTGGAGATATTTCAAGTGAGTACCTTCGGTTTATTTACTTATTTGTTTATCTTTACTTGTATGGGGAGGTGAGTCCAGAGATGAGGCACTTGTCAGTGGTTCAATGTAAGGATGCTTATCAACCCTTTATGTAGTCGAAAATTCCATTCCAAGCCAACGACGTACTCCTAAGCATCTCTGATAGTAAGCCGGAAAAAGAGAGAAGGTTGACTGTTAAGCCAGCAACCACAGCCCGTAAAGCGTATAAAAGAATACTTGGAAAAAGCTTGAACGCAAAGGAATAAAAGAGAAAGAAGGGAAATGAAATTATCTACCTCCTTCCCCTCAGTGAAATATCAACAGTTTTGTGATCAGATTAGAAACTTCATCTAGCTAAATTGGGGTGAACTGGTAGGAAATGGGAATGTTTTGGACATACCTCCTAAGGAGATCGTTGAGTGGCTTCCCAGGTCAGGCAGACACTCAAATGCAACCCCAGTGGGAAGTGAAAGACTAGTCCGGCCTGGGACCATGGGTAACGAGGAGAGGATCGAGTGATGAAGCGTGAATAAAGTCTAATAATTAATCATGCAGCAAGGTTACAAAGACTGAAGAGAAGACATTGGAACGGATACGTGCTATTAAAGCTTTATGTTCCGCTAGGTACTTATTATTATTATTGTATCCTTTAATTCCTACAGGAACATAGGGCTTCAGCCGTGCGTCTCCATTGCGTTCTGTTCTCTGCTAGAGTCTTCACCTGGCTCCATGTCTGCCCACACGTTTTCATCTCCTCTTCACATGACCTCCACCAAGTCACCCTTGCACTGACGACCAACTCGCCGCTTCCCTTTCGGGTTCCACTCGAGCGATGGCTTGTCTACTGATGTCACTTGATGGTTTCCTCAGAGTATGGCCAATCCATCTCCATTTCTTCCTACCTATTTGTTTCACAATCGGTTCCTGGTTGGTTCGCTCCCAAAGATCTCTGTTGTTGATCTTTTCTGGCCGGCCATCTGGTCTTGAGTATTGAGCGAAGACAACTGTTAATGAAGGTTTGTAGTTTGTTTGAGATGCTCTTTATGACGTGCAGTGCAAGCCTCTGATCCGTATAGTGAGTAGCACTGACTTCACATTGGAGTTCAAAATCCGCATCTTATTTTTGATGCTGAGTGTTGTTGACCTCCACACAGACTTAAGAGTAATGAAAGCTTGTCTTGCTCTTCCGATTCTTGCTTTGGTATCCTCATCAGTTCCGTCTGCCTG